GCTCGCCCTCGGGCACCCTCCCCGGGCCTGGCTCCAGGGCGGGGCCCCGGTAACCCTATCCCCTATCCCGGGCAGGGTAAACTGTTCCCTCGATATTCTTTTCATAAGGGTCTTCTGAATCGCTCTTTGTCTGGTCCCTCACCCAGGACCAATTTGCCATGGGAGACCCTACCAGGGCGCAAAAGCCCCCAGAAAACATAGCCCCTGGAATCCCTGGGACACACAAACCCCTCCACCACGTTAAGGTAGCGATTCAAGGAGGAGCGTCAGTTATATCGTTACGCAAATTTTCAAATGTATATTGTGATAAATATTTTTGGTCATATCGCCCTGCTCTAGGTGAACCCACTGTGAAACCTGGCCCCACCCTATCATGTGATTTCCTGAGGTCAGATGGCCCAGGATGTGAGTGGGCATCAAGTTATCTGGGAAGGATCTCAAAACTGGATTATAGATGGCAGAAAGTTGGTGTCGTAAGTCCCGCCCTCTTTTCAAAGATGGACATTCACAGTGAACATAGATGCTTCTTTCACTCCTCTTTCAAACCATCTGTCTTCTCTGTCCTACATGTGGACATTGGTGTCCTCAGAGTGACCGTGTTTATGAACTGTCTGGTGTCTCCAGTGTAGAGGTCCTCTCTGCACAGCTATGTTGTTGAGTATGTGTCTGGGTCTGAGCTGGAACACTGTGCAGTGTCACTGACTGTGTTTATGGTCTGCTCACTGCTTCCTGCGTCCAGAGAGGAAGTAATGTTTACCAAGCTCATGTGTCTATGGTTCCCTCTCCTTCTCTTCTTCTGTGGTTCCATGTGATGCCTGGCTCTCGTTTTCTGAGGTTTCTAAGTGTCTGCTGATGGTTCTAGTTTTTAGCATTAGCTCACAAATGCCACAAACACTGCATCTTTTAACAGACAGGAAGTACCTGCAAGTGAGGCCACGCCGCCTCCAACGTGGGCTCGTCCTCCTCAGGGTCAAACTCGGCTCCGGTCGGGTTGGAGGACGGAGGAAGAGTCCGGAACACGTTGACTGAAAACTAAACAAAAGAAAGAAAAGAATTTTTTTTTTAAATTACAGAGTAACAAACCAGAAGTAGTTCTTCTGTGGTGGAGACCATTCTCTCACCATGATGACGGCCTCGGGGTAGATGCACTCAGTCACCACTTCACTGTTGTGCGTGATGTACTCCACCATCTCATTAAGCCCCGCCCTTTTCACCTCCTTATACTTGAGGTCGCTGAGGGGGTCGCTGATGAAGTCGAAGAGCACGCAGCACTGACGCAGCTTCTGCACGAATAGATCCTCTCGCTCTATCGGTGGTGCGTCTGAGAGGGGAGGAGTCAAAAACAACCACACAACACACAGTGGTGGTGACATCATCAGTGATCTCACCAAATGTGATGAAGGTCCAGCCAACCAGAACCACCGACTGATGAAGCACATGCGCTACCATTGACATGCTTTACAGCCAATCACCTGGTTCTATTTACAGCCAGAGAATTCTACTGCTGCAGTCAGCTGATTCTACTGTCAGCTGATTCTACTGTCAGCTGATTCTACTGTCAGCTGATTCTACTGTCAGCTGATTCTACTGTCAGCTGATTCTACTGTCAGCTGATTCCACTGTCAGCTGATTCCACCGCGGCTGATTCTACTGTCGGCTGATTCTACTGTCGGCTGATTCTACTGTAAATGGTTCCACTGCCGCTGTCAGC